AAATTACATATGGAGCATCATGTGACGTCACAGTCTAGACTGTGTCTCATGCGGTTTAAGTAAGAAAGCGAATCAAAAGCGTAAGCTTTAATGAGATTTTTGATCATAACTGCGCTTGACAAAATAATTTCACTTTAAAACATAAAAATTTCATCATTTGACAACGGTACGAAAAAGCAGTTTAAAAAATTTGAAATTCAATTTAAAATGCAGTTAAGATATGATATAAATAGAAAGACCAGTATTTCAAAGTTTAAACGTGAAAGCAAGATTAAAAACTAAAATACCCTTGCTAGTTGTTTTGTGCAAGTAAAAATTGACCTTTATTTTTTCTATTAGATATTACTTCTATTTGCCTGTTCTTTAATGTGAACAGCAACATCCACATCCCTAAGCCTGTTCCTGATTCTTGTTAATATCTCTGTTGCGTATAAGCAATATGAACTTGTTCCTGCTGCTTGTTCATGTCTCTGTTGTATTTTCAAACAATATGAACATCGGTAACTTTTTCCTGCTTCTTGTTCATATACCTGTTGTATTTTCAAGCAAAATGAACATCCGTAACTTGGTCCTGTTGCTTGCTCATATCTCTGTTGTGTTGTCAAGCAATATGAACATCCATTACTTGTTCCTGCTGCTTGTTCATATCTCTATTGCGTTTTCAAGCAATATGAACATCCGTTACTTGTTCCTACTGCTAGTTCATATCTCTGTTGTGTTTTCAAACAATATGAACATCCGTAACTTTCCTGCTTCTTGTTCATATCTTCGTTGTGTTGTCAAACAATAAGAACATCCGTTAGATTGTTCATGCTCCATATTTATGTCTCTCTTGATCTTGCATGCGATATTTACTTTTTTAAATTTGTTTCTGCTTCTTGTTTCTATACCTGCTTATGCAATATAAACATTTTTGAATTTGTCATGCGCCTTGTTTATGTCTTTGTGGAGCTCTCATGTGATATTACTTTTTTAAGCGTACTCCTTTTTTTCCTTCTTGCTTATGTCTCTGCTGTGTTGTCATGCAATATCAGCATCCTTAATTTTTTCATGCTCCTTTTTATGTTTTTGTTGTGCTTGAGTCTAATTTTATATGTTTTTGTTTGCTTTGCTCCTGATTTTTATTCTTTAAATGGTATTAGAGCCGGTGATGTATCTGTTCCTAGGTCCTTTTAGTTAATTCATCTTTATTGCTTAACACAATCCAGAAGATTCACAAAACGATATATGACCTTTTTACCCTTTGACCTTTGTTTGTATTCCCTGATAAGATCATTGTGTCGACCAGAGTTCTTGTGAAATGATGACTTCCAACAAGCTCAAGACTGTTGAAACATGTATTCCTGTTTCATCAACTTGTTGGATTAGAGTTCGCTTGCATGCCAAACTGGGAGACATAAACTATATATGCATTTGATAAGGTTATATGGCTAATTAAGTAAGGAAAGCGGACGACATCAAGTTGATCGTAATCTTTCGTTGCTAGTTATCATGAACGTCTTTTGTCAGTTTAAAATCAAAATACGAAACAAAAGTGTCAGACTCTGTGGTTATGAACCTCAGTATTAAAAATCAAACACGAAAATTATTTAAATTTCAAGATGAAAACATTCACCATATAAAATGTCATATCCCGGTATATCAGTGTTTGTATCATGGGCACGAGCTCTGTTATTGTTAATGTTTACGTTCCGGGGTGTGTTCAACTTGTTTACTCTGCACACATCACTGGGCACAAACAGACAATCCTGACAAGTTGGTTTTGTGCTCTCCCATATACTCTGAATTTTTTACATTTTTTCCCCCAGAAAACACAACACATTTTCCACTTCTCTTTAAAAAAAATAGACAAAATCTACTCGGGCAAAGGCAAGGATGTTTTGCAATCAAAATATCAATGCTACCTCATTTATTTGATTTTATGATAAAAAAATATCTGATAGTGTCTAGTGTCGCCAGATTGATTGCTTACATTGAATAACACTGGTACATGAAAATATGTATTCATTGGTTGGAGTCGGAAAATTTTATACCCTCGTGCCTTGTGAACAAATAAAACAAATGGAATAAATCAATATTAAGGATTTTTTTTAAAAATACCTTTAGTAGTGATAATGAGATAGCATTTATGATATTGACTTATAATAATTAGAATGTTAAGTTTATTCTTTATATTTTTGTTGGTTTGCTGTTATATTTTTAGTTAGCTCAATTGAACCAAAACCTGCCGATAATCGGCGTTCTTCTGTCAAATGCCTTACTTTTAGTATACTCGCATAGCCTACTATGGGGTTTATATCTCTCAGTTGATTCGATACGCAATAGCAACTTCACGTTTTTACAATTTTAAAAAAAGGTAATTTATTGACAAAAAAGTTTATTAAACAAGAATATCAGCAGTCCCGTTTAAAGTCATCATTTCATAAGTTCTGTGGTCGAAACAATGACCTTGTCAGCAAGTTCAATTTCTCATTGAGTCAAATGGACGTTATTTCCCGATCATGACAAGGATCACAAGGCGAATTTGACCGGTAGGCAAAGGATACTTACTCCTCCATGGCACCTGATCCTACTTTTGATGCTTTTGAGGTCTGCGCTTGCTCTGCTCCTACTAAGTATTGTTTAATGGACATTTGAATTTGAATACTGTTCGTTGTCTCCATATATTTCATTCTATTGAAAGATCCTTCGCCAGTTAGTCTTAATTTTGGTTAACGTAATTCCATATAACTATACAACGGAATAATCCCAGATATATATCTTATTTCTCACACTCTTTTTACTACAATATATAAATAGTTACTTTTTTCTATTTTAGACATGATCTCTTACTGAATTTCACCTTATTACACTAAGTGCATAGAAACAAGGGTATTGCTATTAGTAACCCGAGAAGGTATAATAATTGTATTTTCATTTCTTTGAAAGACTAAATATATAAATATACACTTTTTATGGTTCAGGTTACAGATTGTGAAGGTAGGTTTTAATCCATAAAACGTATACAAAAAATGTATATTTCTATTAATTTTTCATTTTATCTCAGATTGATAAGTACGAATTCGAGACCGGTCCCTTGGATGAGACCGTACATGTATAAACCGAGGTCCCGTGTCGCAGTAGGCGCTGACACGAAAAAGATCCCTCACTGCTGTGTTACAATGCATTTTCAAAAATGACGTCAGTGCGTTAAATTTGGTTCCAAGTTAGCGCACTCTGAATTTTTTTTTTAATTTTCAATGTGCGTTAATATCGACCACATTAATCTGAAAACAATGTGCACGTCTTAAAGTAGTCAATATTCTTGCAAATTCAAGATACCCGGTAGGATAAATAATTGTTTGAACCTGGCTGCATAACTTTTCGCTAATGACGTCACTATAGGATTTGCGATTCACTGTAAATGCGACAAAATGGAGTCCAAGTTTGTATTCATATTGAAAATAATTTTTCAACACAACATAACGGAATTTTTATAGCTATTTGATAAGTATTTAGAAGTATAATTTTTTTCTTACTCCTGCGCAAGATGATGACCTTTTTTTGCAGTTATTAAATAGATTAGCATAAAGATTTATGTAAAATGAACTTGAAAAAAAAATAAAATTTGGTTAAAGGCAAAGAATTGCTAGAGCACTAGGAAAGTTTTATATGTCTTTTTGTCAAAAGTAATTGTCTTGTTCAGATTCTTATTCGGGAAAGCTGTTCAATTACTAGACTATTCTACAAAGCATAATTAAAGGTTTTTGAGAGGAAGGAACTAGAATCAGGGATCTTTTTTTCAATATTTCATTTTCTTGACAACGCTCCCACCCACACGTCATGAAGAAAAAAATATTTTGTTTTATAAACAGAAAGTTTATAATTTGTCACATCAACAATATTTGCGTGCCAGATCTTTACCATTCGACGGTTTTTTTTTATTATTGAAAAACAACCTTTCAAAAAGAAAAAAATTAGTCCCAGAAATCATAGGATCTGTCATATTCCAGTATACAAAGGGCATACTCAAAAATTTGTTTTAAAACATTAGGAACTCAATACAATGTACCAGTTGCGCACTGCTATTAGCAGACTTATTTTTGTATTCATATGAAGCAGAATTTGTGCAAAATCATATGCGTGAAAAGAAGAGAACACTTGCTATGGCCTTCAACTGGACATTTAGATATATCAACGACGTATTGTCAAATAACAATGGTAATTTTCATTTTGATGTCGATACTACATCTCCTGCTGAGCTTGAGATTAAAGATACCACAGGGTCTGACACATCTGTTTCATATTTGAATATCTTACTTGAAAAAGACTTTAATGGGAATCTTACAATCAAGCTCTATAATACACGTGATGACTTTTACTTTTCTATCGTCAATTCCCTTACTTATGCAGCAATATACCTTCATCAACTGCATACGGCGTTTATTTATCTCAGTTGATTCGATATGCAAGAGCATGTTTTACGTATGAAAATTTTTTTAAACGAGGTAAATCATTGAAAAACAAGTTCATGAAACAAGAATTTCAGCAGTTTCGTTTAAAGTCATCATTTCGTAAAGTCTTCGGTCGATATAATGACCTTGTCAGCAAATATAATTTATCATTAATTGAGTCAAATGCTGACTGAATTTTTTTCATACTAACAGTAAGTCCATTTTTATATACTGAATTGACGACGGATTTTTCCGTTATTTCCGGATCATGAGAAGGAGCACACGGCAGGTGTGACCGATAGGCAGGGGATACTCACTCCATGGCACCTGATCCCACCTCTGAAGTTTTGGAGGTCCGTGTTTGCTCTGCTCCCATTTTGTATTGTTTTATGGTCTTTTGAATTTGAATACTGTTCGTTATCTACACAAGTTTCATTCCGACATATGATTAAATTAAAGGAGATGATTTAAGGGAAATTATTAAGACGAAATCATTAAAAAGTGTTGGGGTTTTTTTTTTTGTTCTTTCTTAACACCAAGGACATACTTTATTGAATATCCTTCGCTCATTACGTAAATACATTAAATAAATGTTGTTTTCAAAATTTACTTAAAAAACAAGCTCATCAAAAACAGCCGAACTACAACATCTGTTCCACATGTTATGTTCGAAAGTCCAACAGCCAGCTGGTAAACGGCTACATGTTTTAACACTTAAATTACAGGTATAACAAAAAATATAAATCATTTTCATATTAAATGTCATCAGGTCAAACTACGAAATTTAGTTCACTGAAAGACAGCATTGTTGCTGAACTGTGCAGTTCAGTCATCTTTCCAACCTTTCATTGAACAATCATCTGTCTGCTTTTCATATCTTCATCCCATGTTAATTATTTAAAAACAATATCTATCTAACACAGATGTGCAGCACATTTTTGAATAAGACAGTTGTAGTTTGTCATAACACAGAATGATTATTAATGTTTTCCAATCTTAGAATACTCAGCTTAAGAAGAAAATTATAACTAAAGCTTCTAATTTCTGCACGGGAAACAAGCACAATCCGCTGGTTCTGTGATGGACGTTGAAGGTTGAAGACCCGGTAACAGGACGCCATTTTCGTAGCATTCGTTTAGGACGACTTGTCTGGTTAAAAGACGCCCTTCTTTGCAGCATTTGCAATCCTAAAATTAAATAAAGGAATGTTTATATATTATGAATATATTCTGAAAAACAGTACGCGGACCTAAAAGACAACTACGGTTTCTTTAATTGAAGTCATCCTGTAACTGGCACGATTTTCTTTCTGTAGTTGATAATTAAGGGGAAATTCATATGCATGCAAATAAAGTTTATTAATGAAATGAATTTAATTTTTTGAAATTCATGAGCTACAAAGCTTCAATGCGATATATTAAATGAAACGCGCTGGTAAATATGCTGGTGTAAAGCATTGTACTTCATGTATATCTAATAAATCTTTTAAAAAATGAATTCATTTCTTATATTTACATTTTTTATGAGTTGCTGCAAATAACGGCTTTCTTTTTTTTAAACAAAAAGTTTGCACTATAGTTCTGACGTCAAATACAGTATTATGACCGATCTCTCCCGAGAGGGTGTACTACGCTGTACTGCTACACCTCTGTGACCGTCTAAATCTTGATATTCTTGGCAAAACTATTGTTTGAAAAATCATGACATTTAAAAGTTATATATTCTTTTTTTGAAATCTTAAATCTAATCTTTATTTATGATTAGTAGAAACATATATATAGCTATGTCAGCATAACTTACAAGAGATTATTTTTCGGCAAAATATCGAAAACGTGGAAAATTTCAAACACAAAGCCGATAAATATCAACATGATTCAGTTCTTATAGAGAAACAGCTAGCAGCATTGATATACAAAAATGTAAAGGTGTTAACATCTTCCTGTTGGTCATTTGAACAACATTTGAAAAGTTCACTTTTCTCCACCTACGTAGTATACTTTAGACATTGACAGAGGTATAAGTGGATTTTAGCTAGACCGATAGCTCTGGGTAGAGCTAATACATTGTACTACGGCGTAACAATGGAGATATTCATGCACACTCTTTCAGTTTGTAGCGCATGAGAAAACAAACAATCTTGATATTTGTAAAGAATCTTAAAGAAAAATATTTCGAATGTAAATCTAACGCAATATGCTGGAATATCGAAAGGTTACAAAAAGGACATATATTGTTATATTCGAAACCATTTACTATGACATCAGACAAAATTGTCAATTCCTTAAATTACAGTAAATTAGAATGATTTTAGGAAGATTAAACCTTAGTATAGCACGCAGTTTTGTCTCAAATTAAATCCCCCAGAATCTAGAATTAAACAATTCACTGACCGCAATGGACTCGTTAATATAATGTCGTATCGTAAAAATTGACGCAGTTCAGATCAAGTTACACATATATATTTTACAAAGGCAAAATATATTTAGTAATCAAATAACCTTTTACTTATATAAGTACTTTTTTCCTCGTGGTATTAATTTACGCTATGTACGCAGTCACAAATCTTCCGCGGAAATTTGTCCAAGCGTACTTAATGTAAATGCAAGGCATAAAATGACTGTCTGAGAAATCTGCGTAATTTTCAACCCACGGATTAAATGGAAATTGAGATTCCGCGAAATTATGACCTCGTGGAAAAAATTACGTCTACAGTATTTGCAGATATATAAGAGGCCATCGACTTGCATGTTAATCTGTCATATGATTTTTTTCATTTTTTAAGAACGTTCCCCAGTCAAAATATTTGTATGAAGTATCACTGAAGAGCAATAGGAGGATATTTTAAAAAAACGGATCAAAAAAATCTTTTACACACACCTTCAAGAAGAATTTATATGTTTGGATATTGTCAAAAACATGATTTCTCTCTAATTAATAAATATTTCTAATTTTTATTAAATAAAACGTAGAGTTTGAAGTTGTTCATAGCCTTGTACTATTTATTTAGTATTTATGAATGAACTGAGTACTTTTGCTTAAATCACGTGACTGTAAGATTACGCAAAGAATTTATAGAAAATGTATGCATGTAGATTTTTAACCAATATATAATTTATAACTTTTTGCTAATTACGAAAAAGAATTATTCGTCCATGCAAGAAATTCATTTCTATCTTTTAAAAAATCGCTGACATTTTCATTATTCTCCAACATAAAAGGTACTACGTAGTTTTAGACACATTAGATGTTGAAGATGATGTCTGAAAGCAAATGCAATCCGTTATCATTGTTTAGAAATTTCAGATCTTTTTCTAAGTTTAAAGAAACTTATCCTAATAATTAGTTTTTTCAACTTCCTGAAAGACAATATACCCTTTCCTACAAATGTAAATGATAGATTTTGTATTCAAGTTAGAATTTTACTTTTGAAATTATGCTAGAGATATAACTCGAAGTATATTTAGTTAATTTAATTTTTGCGAAGCATTTGAAGTGGTCCTAGAATGGCTTTACAAAATATTACCATTTATCTTAAACTAAGAAGAATTGTATCATAAAAAAAACATTTTGTGGATACATATTGTGGCATCAGTTTGTAATCTTATACTATAAAATCCACGAGCAAATTTAATGACGTCAGAGTATGACGTTTAATTTTAAGTTTTTGTATATGGGATTGAGGTAGGGGAGGTTATTCAGAATAAAGATTATTTATTCATTAAAAAGATTACACACCAGAATGTTCTGTCCCTTCATACACAATATGAACATATTTATTTCATCTGTAAGTACATCTTTAAAAAATACAATTTTTCATATGTAATTCACAAAATTACTCATCATTTACTATCGACAAAACGACAGGTCCCTTTATTAAGCATGAATGTCACTCATGGCATAGAAACGTATGTTACACAGTTAATGTTTTATATTCAATAAGTCAAATATATATGTGCTGATCAGTGATACATGTGTATGATTCTAACTAATTATTTCATGCAACCATAGGCCTTTAGATCGCTTAGAAAAAAAAAATTGAGGTGTTGAAAAAAAATAAATGTATGGAACTCTTTTCATAGGGTACCTACTTTCGACAATAAAATTCTTTTAAATCAAATTTATGCTTCACAATTTTACTTTCTACCCATATCTATTTATATATAAACAATCTTCATATCTACCAAAGTTCATTCCGTAATTACTTATACTTCTCGAGATATTTTGAAATGAATTCTAAAATTGACCTTAATTCTTTTACTCGACATCAGCTTGGCCTTAGAAGACCAGTCTAATTGTTTTGAAAATCGAAAGGTATATAATGCATTCCGGGAAAAATTCGTTCTACCATGGCTTTATTTACATTCATAATCAATATGGCGGTGCAGTTGTTGATAAAGACGTTTTCAAATTAATTTTTCGCGAAAGGAATTAATACGGACTTTACGTTACAATCAACTTTAAATTGATGAACGATTTTGCAAATACTGTGCAACTCTTCGCTGCACTTTAAACACCGTCTGTTTACATGTGAATGACCAGGGGCCCAAGCTAATGTAGAGTAAAAGAAAGTAGGTCATTTTTGAAATTGATTTCAGAATATCTCAAGAAATTTTGGAATTTCAGAATGAGCTTTTTATCTATGAATAGATTTAAATAGAAAGTAGAATTTTAGAGCATTTGAATAAAAAAATATTTTATTAGCGAAATTAGGTAACCAGTGTAAGAGTTCCATACCTTTATTTATTTTTTTTTACACACAATTTTTTTAAGCGATTCAAAGGCCTTTGCATGCAACCAACGGTTACACGAGGAACTGATAAAAGTTTAAACGGTTTCGTTTCGTTCGATTTTTATCCGTAAAAGTTCTCGACTATATTCTCGTTATTCAGATGCATGCCTTTATCATATAAATCGAAGAAGTTTAATGATCTAATTTCCATTATCCTTACTAATTTAATCAGTGCATCTATAGTAAATATTTTCATATAGTCATTTTCTACATTTAACTCATGAGTGATTTTGAGGTCTAAAGGTCAAAGGTATGTCTATAAATGTTAAAATAGAAATGATCAATTCTAAAACATGATTTTATAAAGTATGATTTGAGTACAATACCTTTTTAAGATCTGGGAATGTGCTAACATTTGGCTCGGCTTTAGATTGACATACCCCCTCACACTCATTCACAAAAGGTCTGGCTACACATTCCACGGTTTTTTGCACGCCGTTGTAAGTAACCGATAGAGTCCTGGTAATGTCCATTTCTATCCTTTTTGTGTTGCATGTTTCAAGTGCTTCTGGTCTGCGGAAGGAACCAAAACGAGACCCAGCATTAGACCGGAACCGGGATCCATCTGTTAACCGGAAGCACGCCAGAAATCCGAGAAGTATGAATAAATTAATAGCGACCATGTCTTAAATTTGAAAAATGACAAGATTTTTTGTTTATAATACTATGACTTTTAAAATCCTAAATTGAAACTTTCAAACGTCTGCTTTTTACTTTTGTTTTCGCGTATGATCCTTTTCCTTCTATATTAGTTTTTATGCAGAGTATACAATAGAGTTAATTGTTACTAAAGAAATCCATAAACTGTTTAGCAATCCAATAAGTGTTTAACCCACGTGCTGGCATATATCTTTACACTTCAAAGCAAAATCAGGAGATAACTGAAATTTGTTATTCCGTGGGTCTTATAGGAGTAAAAGATGAATTAATATTGATTTTTCCCCGAGGAACGTGACTCTAACAGTCGAAAGTTATGCAACATTACTACATATGCAACACAAGATCAGGTGTGTATTAGATACATATCCTCTTAAGTGCGCTTCACATTAATGAATTGGTACCAGACTGTATTGATAAATGGCTTATGGAGGCAACAAGAGATGAATTAAATGAACATTGTAGCTGTCAAAAATAAAAGTTCTGTAGAATTATTTGAGTCAATTAGCAATAGTCAAATGCTGACTATATATTTTCATACTGATTGTTAGGCCACATTATATACAAAACTGAGTTGTCATTTTCCCACGTTTTCTCTGAACATGAAAAGGAGCACACAGTGAGTGTTACCGGTCTGCAGAAGATGCTCACTCCTCCATGGCACTTAATCCCACCTCTGATGTTTTGGAAGTTTGCTCCGCTCCTATTTTGTATTGTTTAATGGACTTTTGAGCTCGAATATGGTTCGTGATCTCCATATATATCATTTAACAATATCATACTTGTTCTTTGCATATTAAACTTTAAACCAATCCATTGATGATTATGAATTTTCTTTATATTCATATGGATTATTGAATTGTAGTATTAAATGGAATTAATGAAAATATGTGCTCGATCTCAAAAATCTACATAAAATACAAATATAAACAGTGCCTTAAATAAGGAAGTCTTGTAATTTACGGAATAGAATCAAGTGCAAAAGAGAATGATCCCTTGAGCAGTCACACTTTTATGTGTAATGATTTCATCATGGTTGGTATACATAATGTCTGTAACAATACAACAATAATGGAATGCATCTGCTAACACGGTCATTTAACGACCTATGAATTTCCAAACTGCGGACTTAAAACAAGGTTGGCGAATTTTCTGTAGCATCAAATTATTTGTCAGAAGACTCCTTTGGCTTGAAATCGATCTCATCTAGTGGATGTTCTTTAGTATCGTAAATGAGGAGTTTATACACTATATGAAAGTGTTAAGGATGGTTGCTTCATTAAAAGGAAAATTGGCGCTTGAAAAGCTTAAGTAATGCTTTTCATGCATAATTAAGTCGTTAGTTGGCCCTTCTCGTCCATATAAAACATTCAAATATGAAACAGATGTGATAAACCTTGTGGGGTTTTTAATTTCTAGCTCACTGGTGCATTCTTAATTGTGGTTATGTTTAACCTATTTTTTTCAAGCAGTTTCTTGTGCGGTGCACCATAATGGTTTCAATAATCTGGTTTAAAACAAAATTAGCATGAAACCCCGAGATGTACATGTGATGACAATTAGATGTCATTATGCACTGTAATTAATCTCCATGAAAAGCACATGCAATATGGACTGAAAATGTTAACAAGCATTGCAATATTTTTTAAGTTCATATTTTTTGAATTACTAAGTACAAATAATTTTTACCTTTAAAAAATATGCCTTTGTGAAAAATCAGTATTGTAAATATTTTAAAAGACATTCCAAAATATTCTTTTAATATTTTCTTGAAGAGATTATTGTAAGATTATTCAATGCCTTTTGTTTGAAATCCATGTTAGAGAACAATGGTAAACAAACACAAGGTATCTGAATTTCCAGCCACTCTGGAAGTAGAAAGGTTATAAGATACGAAGTAAATACTCATGATGTCTCATCTGAAAACAAATATTGAAACAGTGGGTGAAAAATCACTACTTCAGGAAGATATTTACGGCTTAATGGCTTCATTTATTCGAAAAAATTGTCTTAAGGGCATTTAATATCCTGTTTGTCTTTTAGCTCGAACAATTCAGCTCGTTCTGCAAAACGTTTTATGAAGTAATCGAGAGTCTGAACTTAAAAAAAATTAAGGGCATTAGCGTCATCGAAGGTTAAATTAAGTTATTGCAGCAAAAGGAAAGTTTTTCAGTTGCAGTTTTTTTTTTATAAAACCAAACTGAAATATTTCATTATGCATTCAGACATTTCCTATGACAAAAAAAATTACAAAATAAGAAATGTATTTCAATTAACAAACAGGTACAATAAATAGAGAATATCACATACCCCTTTCCATATTACATCCGGTATCTGCCCGAGACACCAATATCAGCCAGAGGGCCGAAGGCCAGAGGGCTGATATTGGTCGAGGGCTGATACAGGATGTGATGTGGAAAAAGGTAATGTTTTATTATGTCTATTACATACTTAGTAATAAAATACAGAACACATTAAGTTGAGAGGAAAGTAGGTAAATAATCATGCACGGACTTCTTACATATACACGGTCTATTGTCTCACACGGTTTGGGTTTGTTTCTACATGTACTTCTTATTCAAATGTGCCCGATCCGTAATTTGAAAAAAAAATCTATTATTTGTCAATTAGATTATCCTTACATTCAAAAAGTTAAAATTTAGAGAATATGCAACCTCCAAAATATGTGTATGATCAAAAGTACTGTTTTTTGAGGTTTAATTTTCTAGGGGTTTGAAATTGATCCGCATCAGCCCTGCAGAGCTGATACGGCTATATTGACGTCAGGCATATCGCATATGCAAAAATTCTGTATTTATTACTAGGTATGTAATAAAAAGAAATATATCAAGGTGACTGCACCTCAGCCCGCTTCCTAATAAGTCGTGCGTTTAAATTTGTATAAGTTTCTTTAAATTAAAAGTTAAGATTATAGATCAGTAAAATAAAGTGCTTTTCAAACATAAAAATTAAATAACTGCACCAGAATGATATTTTTGCACAACTGAACTCCTTGAGTGAACACACTTTATAAGGGCAGATAGGTCTCCAGTGTTTGCATTCGGTTACTGAACTTTACCATTGTTATGTAACATCGGTATTATTCCCGCTAATTATTATTTATATAGGATTCACTATAATTTATATATGTTTTTTCAATAATTAAGAATTTTTTATTGCCAATAAATACATTATGTTCTCATTGGCATTTGAAAATTGTTGTTTTGTTTAGTGAAAGACATTATAATGGTGATGGTTGTGCCACAAATGGTTGAGGATATCTAAAAGCTATTAATTGTTTTGAAATGAATCCTTTTATGTCCTTTTGACTTTATGCAGGAATCATTTTTTTTCTCGTAAACAAGCAATTACGAGCCTACTCGTATATTATGAATGTTTATTTTCTGTACACTGTACCTCCGACTTTTACATTAAAATTGAACGCAGTTTACATTATTAAAGAACGTTTTAACTGAAAGATGTTAGTTCATATATATTTATTTCATGTACACTGTATGTCCACTATCTACATTAAGATTAAACGCAATCTACTTTATTAAATAACGTACTGAACACGTAAACGTGATTTAATCTTATCAAAAGTCCTTATTGATCATAAACAGATACGAAGGTTCGACAGACATAATAACAATTGAACGTTCGTAAAACAGACGTTTTTAACACTTTTACCTCCAAATCGCCTTTCTGATTCTTAAGTATATACATAGAAAGAGAATGTTGCACAAATGTATCAATGTCCCTTTAAATATTCCATGCACGGATAACGATTTGTTTAGAGTAAGTAAGCGGAACAAAAGCTGTGAAACATGTCGCAATTTTCCGTTACTTCCAGTAAAGCTTTATATCAATTTCTAAAGACTCTACCAAACATGCCACTTATCCCCTCGGTGATTAGTTTTAAATGTTGTTATTGTCTCTCTTTACATGGATAATTCTCGCTGTGCACTTCCCTATATACTCTTATTTATTGGTGCATCATTTTCCTAAACATCTTCATCAATTCGTTCCATGAATGTTTTAAAATGCGTCTGCCGCCCCGCAACCAAAACAAAAAGAGACCTAACAACGATTGTTATCAGTTTTTCAAACGGATAATTAAAATTATCCTAGCTAATCCGAAATTCCTCTGATCGTTATTTGATGTCCGTCGTGTTTATCAAAACACAGGATGCGGGAGTTAAAGAGTAATGGTCGGGTGTGCAATTGATGAGACCATTAGACACGAAGCAGACATCCTTAATTACTGAGGCGTTTTGTTTTCCGACGCTATCTATTTAACGAACGGAGTAAATATATCCTTAGTAATAAACTGATTAAGAATTTCGATCCAATTAGGTCACCAGTAAGAGAACGAATTGATTTAAAATTGGATATAGAACTAAAGAGATACTTCAATAGTAACTTACACAGGAAAATTTCAAGGTACTTTTTGACCACTGACATTGGAAATAAAATAATTGAAATCAGGATGATTATATTTAGTGTTTTATAATGAAGCAAGACAAAAACCTATTTTGATCATAAGAAAGAGTGTTAGTAAAATAAAAATTTCTCAATTTCATGCTTTGTGAAGTAATTTGTATAATTTATGGTTCGGTCATTGCATATTGCAGTTATATAATTACATTGGTTCAGCTGATCATGTTTGACATATAGATTAATAAATCCTTTGTGAAGCAATGGTTATTGGAACATTGCTGAAAATATTCCCTTTATTAATAGCACATGTGAAATGGCGGGAAATACATCATAAATATTTTTTTTTCTCGAAAGTCATTGCATAATTTATTTATGATTATTATAGTTTTGACATTTTATTTTTTTTTACAGTTGTTTTAAATGTCAGAGTATAAGTTGTTTCTTCAAAACGAAAACGATACCCTAAGACATTGTCAATACTATATTTTCTGAGCACTTTTTGAACTATTATATACATATCAATTAGTTTGATATTCCTTCTCCCATGCTGGAGAACAAGACAAAATAAGGCCACCATAGTGAAGTAAATATTTAAAAAAAAAATCTTCTCAAGAGCCCCAGCATAGGAAAAGATGAATTTTTTGTAAAAGCTAAGTATCCTTAAGTAGTAAAGATCAATATTTGATCAAATCAAAGGCCTTTTGTGGATAGGGTGTAAAGGATGATGCTAAAAGTTTAAAGGAATACATCTTTTGAAAATTTCTGCTGTAGAAAAACACGACTACATGTACAATGACAATTGTGACCGTTTTGCCATGAACCT